CAGCAGGATAAAGTGCTTTCAGCATGGGATGAGGCAGCTGGATCACAAGCAGTAGAACCCTTTTATTCTGCCAATGCAGGGAAATGGTCTCAGAAGCAGAAATGAGGTACATGGGTACCTGATGATCCCTATTCTATGGGAGAGAGGTGGTCTTTGTCCTTGTTTGCATCTTCTTGCAGTGCCATGAGCTGCACCTCTGGTCTCTGTTGCTGCAGTGACAGTCTCCATGGAGACTGGTCCAGCACAGCTGCATCACAGGACCATAAGGGGTGGCCACTGGGAAATGTCCCTGTCCCTCCCCTCTGGGACACGATGGCTCCCAGGGTGCACTCTCCACCCTCAGGAGAGTATGAAAATTGAAATCCCCCAGGTGGCAAATGTGTGGAGGAATCCCAAGAAAACTAATTGGTTTCCCCCACCCCCCCTCTAAAGCTTGCTGGCTTCACTTTGCATGGATCGTTGCTACTCTGCAGCTATTAGAAGGCCGCCCCATGCTTCGTGCGGGCTCAACTGCAAATTAATTTTGCATATGTATCTCTTCTGGGGAGCATGGGAATTTATCCGCCTCAGGATGCTGAATGGCAGATGGGCTTTCCAGGGGCCTGAGCTGCAGCATGAGCTGCGGCCGCCGTTGGGAATAACTTTGAAGGAACAAGGGTGGCTTCTTCAAATAAATACACCAGAACAAGGGTGCAGTGGGATCTGCAGTGGGATTTCTTCTTGCGACTGATTTGGGACAAAGCAGATGGATTTCAAATGGGATATGCAGAAGCACCTATGAACTTATGTATCAAGATTTTCACTAAGAAATGCGTATCCTACTGGCTCCTGGTCTCCTGCAAGTCCCATTAGGCGTCCGTCTTCTTGTCTGCTTCCTGTGTCTGCCTCTAAATCTATCCACAGGCTTTCTGTAAATGCCAGATTTCTTCAGGGGGATGCTTCAGATTGGGATTTATGTGTTTTTGAAAGCAGGTTTCCCCTTTCTATTACCGAGAGCTATTAGAGGGGAAGAAGTGTTGGGATTTTCCATTTGCCTTTCACCCATCATGCTGCTTTGTTTCCTCTTTGCCTTTCTATCAGCCTTGCACAGTGAAAATAAACCACTTGGTTTGTGTTATTTCAAAACCAAATGGTGCATATGTAGGATGCCATGACATTTGGGCTTGTGGACAACATGCAGAGTTGCAATTTCCTTTGAAAAACAAACTTGCCATTGTTATTTCTGTGGTATTTCTTTAATTTTGTGTAAGTCTTCACTTGACTGCATCAGGCATTGGAGTCAGCCCTTCTTAGATGGGCCTTTGTCCTTGTGAATCACTTGGTGTGAGGAGCAGCCAATGTGGTGGGAGAGGCTGGTCACCAGTTTTTGGATCATTCTGAACATTTATGCCATTGCAGCTATGCTGGGTACTAAGATCCTCCTATGCATGAGTTTGTCACTGAAACATGTATCCTCCTATGCAGAGATTCAGTCCTGGTCCATCGCGGTGTGCCCAAAGTCATGTGCTTGCAGGGTGGTAGAGGCCGTTCATACCTTAAGGAGTAGGTGCACTTCTCAGTGCAGCAATCCATTTCTCCCTGGGGCAGCAGTAAAGCAGTTGGGAGAAGGATACATACAGCATAGGAATCACAGTTTATTTGCCCTGCAGTTGTTCTGTTAGTGCCAAAACTTGCTGGAAAACAGTGTTTTTCCAGTAATGGTTGCTAAGCAGTTAGGTCTCATGATGTGCTTTATCTGCTCAGCTGGATCTGCAGGAAACAATAGAGCTCTAGTGCAAAATGAAATGGGGAAGCATCAGTGGCTGTGCTAGGGCTTCCCTGCCTGCCAGAAGTGGCCACTGTGCCAAGGTGGTACCAGGGGGAGATTTCTCCTGCACCCTTTGCAGGGCTTTCCCACTCCTTGGGCTTGAATGCACTGCTGCTGGGCTGCAGCAGTTTGTGCATCCTGTCTGTGAGAATAGCTCTTCTGCTATCAGTGCAGTGGTGCGTTTAAGGTAATCTGCTGCTGTTGCTGGAGGATCTGAGATTGTAGCACTCATGCCAGGCAGACTGGAGGAGCAGTAGGATGAGGCTGTCATTCAGAAGCCTGCATAGGATCATCCTGTCTGGGGTGGTTTCATGCTGCGGAAATCATTCCTTTGTAATTCTGCAGAAAATCTCCTGATGCAAAATCATTCAAAACCACTTTGCCTGTTTCTGTTGAAGGAATGTTATGTTCCCCAGTGACTTATGCAGGTGTCTGGGGAGACCGGTGGGTGGATGTGTACGAGTTGGCATGAGGAGAAGGTTTTGTGCTGTCTCTGGGACTGTGTGAATACCCATGTCTGGCTGGTTACCTTTGGCTGAAGCCTTCCATACCCAGCAGCTCTCATGTCCCATCAGCCCGTCTACTGTGTCCTGTTCCTGCTAGCTGGAGGTGGTTCTCCAGTGTGGCTGTTCTTTTGTTTAGCCACTGCTGTGCTGCCTGCCATCTCTCCTGGGACTCTGCACTTACAGTTTTGCTTTCCTTTGCAGTCTGCTTGTGTGGCTTGTGACTTTTCCAGAAGGTTCAGGACAACCCTTTGGTGTCTACAGCTGCTTGGCAGAACCGTTCTGTGTTCTGGGGACCAGTAGAGCAGACTGAGCTCCTGCCAGAAGTCTGTGCTCTGGGGTAGCAAACTCTGCTGTCTATCCCTTGCTGTTACCGTGAAGTCCAGGAGAGCCTCTGCAGACCCGGGCACCCGCAGGTGATGGGCCTGCTACACCTCCACACCACCTTTGCAGAGACTCCTGTTCCCATGGTAAATAATAGCTATTGAACAGGGTGATAAGTGGGTTCCTGTGGATGGTAGCCCTTGGGGACTCTGGCACTGGACTGTGAAATCTGTGTCCTTCAAAGGATGTTGATGCAGTCACTTAGGCCCTTCGGAAGGTGCAATTCCATCTGGCCAAGCCCAGCTTGTTACTGGAAGATTGTTATTGGAAAGCCATGTTCTGCCTACCTGCTGTTGTGGGGAGGTGAGTAACCTGAGCTTGGGCTGAGGCGAAGGTTTGAGTCACGTTTGCTGGAATCAGAGCTATGGGAACTGTCCGTGCTGGGGACAGATTTTGTTGCTTATGATAGCAGTGTGAAATGTGGGACTGTCCTTGGGAGTGCACGTTGTATTGAGTCACCAAGACATCATCCACATAGGGGGATACTGACTGACATGTCACGGTGTTTCTTGGGCTGTGGCACTACCTCTCTGCGATGAAAAGAGCCAAACAGTTGCCAAAATGCTGTCAGCTAGAAGTTGGGAGATGGCCCTGGAAATACTGCTTTGTCCATGGGCTGAGCTGTGATGTCCCCTCTCTCTTCTCCTGCAAAGCGGTTCCCAGGGCTGCGGCAGCTCTGCCCTCTGTGTCGTTGCTGCTGCTCATCTCAGCTACACAATGATTGAAAAATCTGCCCTATTTCCAGTTAAAACATATTTTATGGTGGGTTTAATCCCATCCGGTCTTGTTTCAGGCTTGTATGTGAATTCCCATTCCTGCAGGATGTAAACACTGGGTTTTTCACTCTTGTGTTTCTCCCAGGAAGGGTGGGCTGCACCCCGCTGCAGTCCCATGCTCCGCACCAGTGTGCTGGGAAGGTGCCAGCTCTGCAAGTGTGTGTGAGACCTGTCGAACCCCGGCCAGCTCTGGCTCCTGGGGTAGTGACTCAGCCCCGCTCTGGCTGGGCGCTGAGCAGGGCTGGCCCAGCCCAGCTTACCTAACACCACAGGAATGCCCGGCTCAGCAGGGCTCCTTACTCTACTCTGAGACCCAGGCATGCCACACACTGAGGCTTGTGGCCTCAAGGCAGCAGCTGGTTTTGGGAAAGCCGGGACAGAGCTGCCCTGTTGCAAACCTTTGCCTGGCAAAAGGCAGCCCCAGAGTGGGACCTGCTGCTGCCTGCAGTCATGGGAAACCACCAAAAAATGCGTGCTGGAGCAGGGTCTGTTCACCCTACTTATCATCCCTCCTGGGCCTAGCAAGAAGGGCAGCTCAAAGGACGTAAACTCCTGTTTGTTTGAGGGCAACAAGGACTTTGTATTGACTTGCCCTGGCATTTTGCAGTGCCTGTGTTGGTGCTTAACTGGTCCCAGTGAGTCCCCTTCCTGGGTGTGGCTGGATGAATCCACCAAACTGCTTCTGTCTACTGCTGTCTTCGCTGGAGGGATATCTTCCCCTGTTACTAAGCTGGGTCTCTGCAGCTGATGAGGGTGCAAAAATGGCTCAGACTTGGCCACAGGTTTACTCTTTTTTGTGAGAGTTGTACCACCTGTGATATACACATTGCTCCGTGTTTACTCTCTCATCCTACTGCTCCTGTTAGTGTGCATTCTGTAGGAAGATGCCCTTTGTAGCAAAACCACCCCATTTTGTGCCATACTCATTTTAGCAAAACTGTTTCAGTGTCGTTGTCTCTCTCTGATGGAAAAGTCAACCGGTGCCATACTCATCTGGGCAAAACTTTCCATGCAGGATTGACCTGCACATTAGTATTCACTGTCTTTTAGTGCCACGCTGCACTGCCATAAGGCTCCCAAGCACTCTCTGGATGTGAATTATTTAAGCCTCACTGTGGTCCTTGGAGTACAGGAGGGCGTTGAGCTGAAACTGCCTTGGACAATGGAAAGCAGGGATGGAAGAGAGAAGGAATGAAAAAGGGAGGCTGTAGCTCCAATCATTCATGCTCTTTCTCACACCATCTCATCCATGCTCTCTTTCTCACACCCTCACCCATGCTCTCTCTTTCTCACACCCTCTCATCCTTCCAGCTCTGCTTGTCTGCCTGCCACAAAAGCCAGAGTGAAATGCTGTAGCTGCTGCAGACACTGAGCATAATCTGAAATCAACAGCAGGCAGGACCTGTTGTGTCTCTGGGACAATGCACGGGGTTTGCAAGTGCCGTGCATGTAGATGAGGCTGAAAACCTCACGCCAGTGCAAAGCAGCAGCTGGAGCCAGCACTGAGCTTGCCCTGAAAGAAAGGAGAGGCTGGAATAAGGCAGTGTGCCGTGGCGTGCTTGCAAGGGGCTGCTTCACCAGCCTCGGGAACATCGCTGGCTACATGCACACGCACACACACAGGCGCACTTGCTCACACACGCGCACACACAGCCTCTTGGTGCAGCTCCTCACTGCTCTTTGATTTGCAAGGAAGGAAATAAGACCTCTTAGAGCAGCAGAAGCAGCAGCTGTTGACAAGATGTGCTGACAAAATCGACCAGGGAGAAATCTCAAATCTGTTTTGCTGCCTGGGCTGGACCTGCTCCTGGAAGAGGAGTGGCAGAGGAGAGAGAGGAGGATGAGCAGCCCCTCCATCCCTGGGAAGATGGAGGCAAAACCTTTGTTCAACGTGCAGAAGGCTCTGGTGCAGCCTGTGCAGATGTGCATGTTGGATATCCCCCTGAGCGTGCAGGATGATGATGTAAGTAGAAGGCAAGTGAGCTGCCAGCCCATTTTCAGCTGCAGGGATGGGGCGGGTGTGCAAGGAGAGGTGCTGTGACCCTACCCCAGCACTATCCATGTGTGATGAACTTCTGGCAAAGTTAAAGGTGCCAAGAACTGGCACTGCATCCAGGTGTGACTGTTTCCTCTCTGAAGTAGCATATTTTGAGACAGACCATGTCTTGCACTTGCCACATCCAAGGCACCAAATTTAAAGGAGGAGTTTGGGAGGGAGGGGAAGCCTTCCTACATGGAAACAGCCTTGTATTGCAGCTCAGTGCAAAAGGGAGTGTTTGCCATGTATGTCCTGGCTCTTCTGCCTTGGAGTGGCTGGTGCGTGTGAAACCTGGGAGGCACATCGTGGTGCCTGCCTTGCGTCGTCTCCCATCTGTGTGGGCATTGATCCTGCCCTCTCTGCTGCTGTGCTGCAGGTGCAGCCATTGTAGAGTAGGGCTTGGTCCATGAGGCAAAAAATGGTGCTGGTTGCAGCAGTGAGGTAGAGGTTTCCTGATGTGTCTTGGGTCAGGGGATTCCTGCTGAGGGCTCCTCTTGTCACTTTAACTCTGCCTCTCACAGAAATATGCCACAAATCTGACGTACAAGAAGGCAACCTGTGATAAAGCTACTGGAGAACCCAAAATAGGGACCTTGTTTTCCAAAGGGGTAGGTGGTGAGCAGTTGGTGTCCCACCTGTGTAAGGGTTTTAGATGTGATCCAGGTGCTGTTAAAATTCCAGGCAGAACTTCCTTTGATTTTGGAGCAGGGAAAAGCCATGTTCTTGCTCTGTGTGTTCACTGTTTGTATTGTCACTGCAGGAGCCTTAAATCTGGATTTTCTTGATGGGAAACGATATGTCACGGTTGATATCAAGGTTGATATGTCGTCTTCTCTTCATCATCATCTCTGTGTTTGAAGAAGTGGAACGACAGTACAGAAAGGAGCTTGCTTCCCTGGGAGCAGGGAGGAGTTTCTTGCAGGGCAGTGTGTTGGATCTTGGCAGGGGCAGAAAGCCCCAGCGCAGGAGCCTCTGCAGGATCAGGGGACTTGCAGGGAGAGTCCTATATTTAGACACACCCCCCGCCGGGGCTTGCCGGGACCTCCTGTGCTGCTGCTCTGAGGATACCTGCGATGGCCACTGCACAGCTGTGGGGCTGTGCCGGGAAACGCGCCCGAGAGCCGGGTGCCTCCAGCAGCCGGTGTGAGGAGCCAGGCGGCGGGTGCCGGGAGCCCGCGGCTCGGTGCTTGCTTCCGATGTAGCTTCATTTTTTAAGCAGCAGGTTTCTTAAGGCTTACACTATGTGAGACCCGTTCCTGCTCAGTAGTGCGATCTGGTGCTGGATTTCTCTGTGGCCTGTGATGCAGCACAGGGGATCCTCAGGGTTTGCCTGACAGGGGTGGAGGCTCCGCTTCCCTCCCGGCAGAGCAAGAAACCTAAGCTGAAGGCGTGGGCAGTGCTGGGACTGAACGCTGGGCTGCTTGGACATGATCTCTGCTGCTAATCACGTTCCTGGGTTTACTGCACAAAAGAAAAATATTTTTAAGGTGGTTGTGCGCTGTTTTAAAAAGGTTGGTGGGAGTTTTGGTTGTGTCACAGTGGGGCACTGCTCAGCAATCTGGCACATCGGGGCATCCCCAACCCTCGGGTCATTACTGGCATGTTGGCTCCATTGTGCAAGACTGAAAGGGTTGGCTTTCTTCTTACTGAAACTGCCGTGAGGTTAGGCTGGGAATGTGATCTCCAGCATCCCCGTTTCCATTTAAATTGAGGCTCTGGATGTGCACTGTGTGTGTTTCCCAGCTGTGATCACCTATCCCAGCACAGGGCTCCACTGGTGCTTTCATCCCCTGCTCTCTCGTGCTTTAGCAGAGCAGGATGGGATCCTCGGGGGTGAGCACTGGCTGGCAGCACCTGTGATCAGGAGGTGGATTAGGGATTGCTCTGCCTCTCTTGTGTTTGCGTGCTGCTGCTCAGCACTGAGGATGCTTGCCCTTGTATTCCATTCCTGGAAACTGGGGGAATAGCAGCTCCTGTGCACCATGGAGCTGGCACCTCCCTCTGCTGCAAAGCATGGGCCCGTGGTGAAAAGCCACGGGGAAGTCCTAAGTGGTGTTTTTGGAGTGATGGGAAGACTCTTCTTTCACAGCTGAAAGATTCCCTCCGGCCAGCCAGGGTTTAGTGTCTCATGCTCACACTGCATCCAAGTACCTGCTCATCTCCCTGCAGTCACTTCTGCCAGTTTGCATGGGCACCTGGAGGGAGCTGTGTTGGCTTTCCCCCTTCTATTTCAGGACTTTCAGACTCACTAACAGCCCTTCTTCTTGGAGATGGAACAGTCAGGTTGGGAAGAAGTTTAGGAGCTGTATTTTGTGGGGAGCTTTAGGTGCTTGAACCCAGAGGAAGTTTTACTAAGAGATGGGGGTCCAGAAACTCGATTATCCAGGGAATGTCCTAACAAGTAGTCAGACCCTGCCTTCTCTGAAGCAGGCTGGCCCAGCGCTGCCTTCCTGGCCTGTTGCAAGTGTGCAGGAGGCAGGGGTGGGACAGAGTAAAACAAATCAGCTTCAAAGTAAGGGAACTGGAGGTTTTCCCAGCACTGCTGGTCTCAGCTCCATCACTCATCAGCTCCTAGCCCTGCTGTCCTTTGCAAAGGATATTCTGGGGTGGTAAGTGCCTCGCTGAAGTTGAGTTGGCACTTTACAACCCTCCCTGCCCTTTGCCAAAGGAGTATCATGCCCCATCAGCAAGCTCCCCTCTTTCTAAAGTGCCTTGCAGCCTCTGTGATGAGCAACACCTCATACTCCTGTTTATCAGGAAAACTGCTCTGTCCCAGCATGGAGTGGGGCTCCTTTGGGGAGCATTTCAACAGCAGGCAGTAGACCACTGGATGGGTTGGAGGGACATGGGCTGCTTGTGCCCATGTTTAGTGGGTGGTCAGCTGAAAGGGGAACGTGAGGTGCGTGTCAGGCAGAGGTGTCTCTCGTTTCTGTCTCTCTTGCTGTCTTCCAGTGGGGCCATCATTCCTTCCCTTTCATAATTCAGCCACAGCAGTTGCAAAATTTCCCAGGGTTCCTCTCTTGCTATTATGGGTAGGGATTTCCAAAGCTTTGCTAATAAAAGAAGTTTCTATATCTGGGAAATGGGGAAATCGATGAACAGACTGTTGCAAGTGCTATAACAGCTTTTTGTGGCATCTCAGGCAGTTGCCTAACATGATGGAGCTTTATGGGCAGTTCTTTTGTCAGCAGTACCGGCTCCCTGTTCACTGGAGCCTGCAAGGCTGGGAGGGAACAGTGGGCTGATGTCACGCAGTGGTGGGTGCTGCTGCTCAGGCCATGTGCAGTCTCAGTGCCTCGCTCCTTCCTGGTCAGTTGGCTCACTCATGGTTGTACATCCCAGGCTAATGCTTAGCCCTTTGTCACAGTGAAAATCACTGGGAAGTATTCCCTTGTTGAAGTGTCCAGTAAATGGCAAGTTAAGGAGGAAAACAGCACAGCCTTTGGTCTTGAGTTGGACACTTAATGCAGCTCTGCAGACTGAGAAGAGTCATGACCAGGTGAAACTGCTGCTTAGGCAGTTGCATCCTCTGGAACCTGTCCTTGTGGTCTCCCCATCTTTACTTCTTTCCTTTCTCTTCTGTGATGTCCTAATAGGTGCAGTAGGTTCAATTTCAAAGTAGTTACCAGGTATTTTCCACTCCAGTGGGCTAATTAAATTTCACATACTAATTTATTCCTCCAATATTATTTTTTTCCCAGGTACTGGAATACAGAAGGTAAAAGCTTGGTTTGACCTTAGGGTCAGGCTCTGAAGAGCTGGAGATGGGAACAAATGATTAGTTCCCATGTTTACCATAGCACAGGCTTATTCCCTGATGCATTTGAGATCTTGTTCAGTTGAGCTTTAAGTGTTTTAGCTGACTGCAACCCAGGTATCTTGGGTGAAATGTTTTCCTTTGGCACAGAGAAGAAAAGCTTTCAGATCAGCAGTGTTGAATTGCTATTTCCAGCTTGGTTGTTCCTGTCTGCAGCACTGGTATCACCTTGGAGTGCTGCATAAATGTCACCTAATTAATCCGTGCAGGAGTGGGTGGGAATGGTGTTACTTCCTGTGCACTAATGGGTGAAAGCATCTACTTGGTCTATGGGCACCAAGGCCAGCCCCTGGATTCAGTCTGGCAGTCAAGGGTCATGTTCCACAGCAGCAGTGATGGCTGTCCTCATAGCACTGTAAAGGAGCTGGAAACACACCTTCCTTGTCAAGCTTAGAACACTGAATCCCCAAGGCTAGAGGCAGATGTTGGGTCAATGGGGCTCAGCTCCCTCCCAGGGGCTGCAAGTGGGGCACAGACACAGCAGGTGCCTTTGGGCCATGGGGTGAGTTGGTGAGGGGGTGAGTTGCACAGTGTGAAAGCCTCTTGTCCTGCTGATGAATGCTTGCTGGCAGCCAAGCCCTGCTGAGACACTTGACATCTCCTGCATCCCTCTGCTCTTTTGGTGTGGCTCTGCCAGCCTGTGGCTGTTGCGGGCAGAAAGAGCCAGTGGGGCTAGTGTTTCTGTTCATCACAGGGTGACACCATGCACCGAGCTCTGGGGTGAAGCGATAGCTGCAAACAGCCTTGCAATGAATCACACTATCATGTTTATATCAAAGGCTGTTTCTTTTCCACTGCCTGCGTATGGTAGATGTTATCAAGAGGGAGGAGCTGAAAATGCTAGGACTGTTTCCTGACCACATCACAGTAAAACCAACAAATCCCTCGGTCCCTGCTCTTGGCCAAGCTCTGTGTTTCTCTTGGGTGTATTGTCACCCATTTTATTGGAGCAAACTGGAAACTATGGAAAAAGTCTCCCAGGTTGAATTCTCATCTGCAAGGGCAGAAATTTAGGAGCACGCTGTAAAGTCTTGGATTTCTGGGAATTGCCCTGGCCAGGCTAAGGTCTGAGCCAGTGCAACGCCTTGTGTACATGGATAGGGCAGCT